CAGGGGGACACAGCAAGGGATCAGAGAAGCTCTGTTCACCAGGGTACCTCTTGGGGTAACAAGGAACAATGGTCACAAACTGACAGAGAGCAGATTTAAGCTAGATATCAGGAAAAACTTCTTCATGGTAAGGGTGGCCAAAATTTGGAATGGGCTTCCAAGGGAGGTGGTGCTCTCCCCTACATTGAGGGTCTTTAAGAGAAGGCTGGATAGGCATCTGGCTGGGGTCACTCTTTCCTGCCTAGGCAAGGGGTCGGACTTCATGATCTGTTGAGATCCCTTCTGACCCTGCCATCTATGAATCTATGAACCTTGTGCCACTGCTACTTGTCCCCTGGGAACACCTGTGCCGCATGCACTCTGGCATGTGGAAGGTTATCCCAGGTGGGGTAGGGGAGTCTGGGGCCAGCAACTGTGCCTGCCCCAGCAGCCTTACTTGGGGTCCTGGAGGCTGGGGAAGCTGTAGCCATGGTGCTTCTGCAGCTGAGAGCCTGGCCACCAGCCTGAGTATGGCTCTGGTCAGCCAGGCTCCAGTTTTGGGTGGCACACACTGCCACCACATGCACCACCCCACTTTTTTCTGGGTGGGTTTTTTGACCCCCCAGATATTCTGGGGGGGGGGGTAAAAAAAAAACCCTATGCTGCAAGGTAGCAGCATGGGGAACACCTGAATATGCAGCGTGTGGCACTGCAGCTGTGTCTGTGGTGCCACATACCATACGGCTGCTCTCTGGACACAGACACTGGGTGCATCTACACATGCGCTTAACCGCACAGTAGACTACTTTGCTGTGGTGTAAAGTGTCACAATCTACATGTGTGACGCTATTAGACCCCAGCAAACTCATTTTCACTGCTGAAAGCTAGTGCTGTCAGGGCAGTACTATCTTACGGCTGTAAAAATAACTGTGATCAAACATTCGTGTAGACAGGGACTGTGGGTGGAGATTGCACCCAGTCAGCCCAGGCAGCAGGGGACCAGATCCCTGCCTGCTGCCTAGTTGCACAGCTCCGCTTAAACTGCTGCAGTCCCAGGTACACATGTAGACGCTGTACCTGGGAGCTGTTAACATTAGTATGAACTGTGCCAGAGTTTATTGTATCATACTTATAGCATGTGTAGATGCACCCACTGAGAAGTAGTTTACTTTAGACGTAGTTAATGAGATCATTTCAGAAATCAGGCGCTACTCATATGTAAAGTTATCAGAGTGTGGCTTTAAGTATCAAATCTCAGCATCATCATAATTCCAGGAGAGTCTGAGCTTTGAGCACATCTTGTACCTTGGAGGATTTACCTAAAACAAGAGGGGAAAATGGCAGGTCACTGTATGTAAATCATAAGAGAATGTTCAGAGGCAACACTAAAGTGAGAGGAAAGATCTGCAGACTAGGCCTTCTATGCTAATTAATTTCTTAGGTTTATTGTTGTTTACTTGATAAAATTAGTCCAAAAATTGTGAGAATTTTGATGTTTTAAAATGTTGTTTTTAATTTTATTTGGCTATTCACTATTGATTATTTAGTTTGCTTTTAGTTCCTGGTTATGTTCTGTGAGGTTAGAGAGTGCTAAAGGAAGAATAGTTATTTAAAAATGTGATTTTGGAGAAATTAGGTTGTTCCTCTGTAGACTTAATGGCATCACTAACAATAGCCAAAACTTCCTCGTTTCAAGCCAGTAAACAGACATGATGTGAAGACACAGGATGCAGATAGTATTGAGTAGAGAATGTGCATTGTTCATGAACTTGCTTGCTGACTATGTTTCTGACATAAATCAAAATGTAGGACTCGGTGTGCTGCAGAAGCTATTACAGGTCCCACAGGGTGTGTACTGTTGAGTTGAAAAAGGATCCCCTCCTTGTTTGATCTAATTAACACCTGAAGGGGAACTCTGAATAAACTTGCATACAGGCCACCCTGGAACTGCTTGCCTGATGCTTGGGAGAAGCAGCACTGGAGTCAGTGAGATGCATCTGCCTCGTGACTTAGCAATAAATAACTTGTGCAACTCATGCAGGTATCCTATGCCAGCTAACTGAATGGGAGAGCAGAAGGATCTTGCCACCTTTTGATAGGGCTGCCTTAAAATATCCCCCCCACCAGCTAGATATGTGGGTTAAATAACATTGTCCTTAAAAATATTATCGCATTCCCTCACAATCACCCCCCACCCAGTAAATTCATCCTTCCATTTCAACCCCCAGTCTAGTCATATACATCATGATGGTGGCCTGCTTGTTTTATTGCTATTGGGAAACAGTTTGGTGCAAAAGTTCATTTAAGTAAAGCTGGTAAGAGCTGCTGCAAATAGCATTAGTCAGAGTTTATTCTGGTGACACAGTGCTTTGAACTAGAGCTACAAAAGGATTGGCACTCATGAAGTTGAGAAGAAATTTCACTGTGTATACAGTCAACTCCCAAAGGGCATTGGTGAATCTATTCCAATAAACGCCTAGAAGGACAAAATATTAAGAAGTACTGTCATTGGCCAGAAAGGTGGGTGAGAGGCATGTCCTCCTTATGTCCTGACATTACCATGTATTGACTTCCTACCTAAGATGACATGGATGCTGACACTATTTGAACTGAGGATTTGTTTATTTTTGCTTGCTTTCAGTTGCTGGATTGGCATTGCAGGCTGTATTCTTCTACTGCTATACATCCTTTATAAATTGCTTTGAGATGCTTTTGCATGATAAGATGATATAAAAATTGAAGTAATTATTACTATCTTTTTCACTGGTGGAATTGGATAGCGGGCATTGATCTGTAAAATACTAATTTCCGTATTTTTGGTGTTACCTTAACCCATAGAATTCCTTTGCTATATGATTACAAAGAAAGGCTTACTAGACAAAAGGGTGCCCTTACTAGTCCAGAGTGTCATCATGAGTGCCACAAAGTACGTGAATATTTTCATTCTGTACCTGAGACATAGATATGCTTTTGTTAATATTTATAATGTTATATAAAACTATATTACATTTGCATCACATTTTATCTTGAAATATTATGAAAGCCTTTACAAATACAAGCCAGGGTCACATCCATCAGTAATGTGATTCAGCCTTTAAAGAGTAGACCTGGTCTGGTGTTCAAAGGGGCTCTGTTAGCTAAGTTTTTTCCTAAATAAATAAAAATCTCCAGCTTCTGATTGTGCATTTTTGAAATAATCTGTCTTTTTCAGTTCTTTAATTAAAATAATTGGACACTCAAATTGCTGTTTTTATAAAGATAGAAACTGAATAAGAGTTTCCTGCTGCTGTGGTGAATAGTACGTTACTATGGGCTAACTTGTGCTGTTCATGCAGAGGCTGAAAAAGGGGTTAGGCAGAAGGGAGAACTCCCACTCACCGTCTTGGTTGTATAATCAAAAGATGAAGATTTAATAATTAAAAGGCAAAACAAAATTAGTCAAACTTGAAAGCAAATGAAGCTGAACTTGAGAGAGGCAAAGAATTGAGTCTGTTTTGAAAAAATATAATGTGTCCAAGTCAATATACTTTCACTCTGGCTTTGCATTTACACATCAGCATTGAACTAGGGAGACAAGGATTTTGGAAGTAGTTAGACAGTTTGTAGTGGTTCTTGTTACTGGTGGATAGTGGCTATGCCTAACCATCAGCACCTAAACATTTAGGGGGCAAGAGCGTGGGGATTGTTTTTCTTCCTGTAAGGGTGCAGACATAACACGATTACTTCACAGGGGCGCATCCACACATGCACCCCGCCGTGCAGTTGATACTGCGCAGTCATTTAGTATTTGCTAAAGCAAATACTAAATGACTGTGCAATACCCACCGATAGTGTGCAGTCCCGGTGACACGCAAGTCATTTCTTTGTTTCCAACTGCACTGCACCGTAGCAGTGAGCTATTGTGCAATAGCAACAGCATCACGGTTAGTGCCCACCAGCACTACATCACTGTGGCAATGAGCTACAGCACTGTAGCTTGCCGCTATGGCAACATAGCATCTTGTGTAGACGCACCAAGTGATTTTTCCCTGGATTTTACTCTGTGGTAAATTTACTCCATAACACCTTTACTAACATGACTATCCTATTTACTAAGAGTTGGGGAGCTGGTTTGCACTGAGCAATAGTTAATGCAGGATGACATTGGCTAAGGGATTGGATACACAACACAGTCTTATGTAGCAACTTTCCCATATTGCTACACATTTTTCACTGGGTAACTTTACTCTATGTTCAAGTGATTTGCTGCATAGTTGTGCCTCATATACCTGCTTCATTTTAACTGTGTTGTAAAATCACTTTACTACATAGTAAATGTGTTGTCTGTCTGCACCCTAAGAGAGTGTTGGAGTCACTGCTACAAGCTTAGATACCATGGTAGACACAAGTGCCTCAATACTTTCCTGCTGTCCTTTGTTTCTTATTTTAATAATTTATATTGCTATGATGTCCAAGTGACAGCATCAGGGTCCCGTTCTTGAAACCTAGGAGGATGCAATCCATTGCTTGAAGAGCATAGTTTTAGAATTGTGTGAATTTACTGTGCTCTCATGCTCTGTTATGTGCTCTTTTACACCATGAACTCGGTGTGGGAGAATGGTGAATGCCAATTCAGGAAGCAACCAGCACTAGTCCAGGATATGGATAATTTAGTATGATCATAATATAGTTCTATTTTGAGGAATTGAGGAAGAGAGGTTCCAAGTTCAGAGGTATCTTGAGAAATTTGCTCTTACGTTATAGACCAGTCTGTGATGTTCTCATCCTCAAATACTAAGGCTGGTAGAACTTGCCAAACTCATTTCCACTAATGATGTAAAACAAGGATTTTGAACATGGATCTTTGGCATTGAACGTACTTATCTCCTCAAACCCATACCCCTTTGTATTTTAGACCATTATGAATCAGGTATTTTCGTGGCTGAGGCTTTTAGTGCATCAGACATAAGCTTATTGGCCAGAATGAGAGTGTTACATTAATGGAAATCCTTAGATGATTTCTTTTTTACTTTTGGATCCAGGCCGTGCTTTGCTGAGGCTTACTGACAAAAAGCTTGAACGAATGGGAATTGGCCAGGAGAGCCTACGGCAGCATATTTTGCAGCAAGTTCTTCAGCTGAAAGTTCGAGAAGAAGTCCGAAACCTTCAGTTGCTTACACAAGGTATGAAATAATTTCGGCATGGTCATATAAAAGGGTTACATAGGAAAAAAAGTTCACTTTACAGCGTAAAAATGGCTCAACGTTCTCCAACAAAAAGTAATGTCTGAAGATGCTTTGGATTCCATAAACATTCTGATTCAAGAAAAAAAGTTAAAAAAAGTATAAGAAAATAGATAAGTTCTTCTGACTCTTGGGCGTGATGAGTAGTCTCTATCTACAACAGGAAAGCATTTTCATTTGAATACCACCTTATTAAGATAAAAAAAACCCTTGAGACTAAGCACAATGGCAGTAATAAATAATGAGCTGTCTTTACAGATCTTGAACATTTTTATTAATTGTTTAAACTATCAGTAAGCTGTCCTATAGTATGACCTGTCATTGCAATTTATCTGTTAGATGTCTGAAAAATATAAAACCTGATTCTTCAACTACTGACTTGAATAGAGGTGTTTCTAGTTTATGCCAATTTACCAATGTTTACACATTTTTAAATTTGTATCCGTCGTTCTTCTTCCACATAAAATGGTATTCCGCCCAGATTAAATAAACAACAGATTTATATGACCTTTTGGTTTAGTACCCCTTTTTGTCATTTTATCTGAAAAGAATATTGTTGAAGTATCTGTTAAAAACACTAAGTAATTAATTAAGCTGTGCTTAATGTACTATGAGAAACCTTTAGGTTAACTCAGTAAACTATTTTTTGACGCTAAGCCTCTGACTTCTAATGAACTGTGCTTTCACATGGTTTTTGGTGAGGATCGATCACAGCAGGGTTTCCCTCATATCTTCTAATATGTCTTTATTCAATACTAACTACATATCATAGTACTTAGGGTCAGAAGGGACCTAAACAGATCATCAGGTCTGACCCCCTGCCCCGGGCAGGAATGGGTACCAGGGTCATATCACCCCAGCCAAATATCTGTCCAGCCTCCTCTTGAAGACCCCCAAGGTAGGAGAGAGCCCCACCTCACTTGGGAGCCCATTCCAGAGGCTAGCAGCCCTAACTGTAAAGTAATGTCTCCTGATGTTCATACATATATCAGATAGAGCCCAGGTTTTAGAAGTTTACCTGTTCCTCAGGAAGTCATCCTCTCACACTATTGTTTGCTAATTTCCACGTCTCTTTTTATAAGGAATATGTTTTAAAAGATTTGTGTATTTTAAGTTCCAATCAAAGGTCAATACCAGACATCCTGAAAAGACCCACCAGAGATTCAGGTTTGCTTATGGAAGTTGATATGAACCTGACTTCAGTCATAAATGATGCACTGGCTTTAGATTTATGTTAGTTGTGTGTTATTTTCTTGCTTGACCCTCTGTCACTGAATATTACCCCATTTAAGGACTAAGCAGTATTTTCAGAGCTGTCTTTTAATGCGTGGATAAGTCAAATGCTCAAGTATCAGTCATCTAGAATCAGTCAGTAGTGATGGACATTTCAAGGGAGTTGATGTAGCATCCTTTGAGATTCTAACCCAGGGGTGCTCAACCCCTAGCCCCCTGGCCAGATCCAACCTGTGATGCTGGGTCATCCAGCCCACAGGGCTCGTGGTTCAGTGACACTGAATTGAAAGACATGGGGTTTCTATTGAACAAACAGCTGCTTGAGTTTATTCTGTACACGGGGTGGGCTTTTTATAGTGGGGGACTACTTCAATACCCATTGAAGTCAATAGAAAGCTTTCCATTGATTTAATTGGACTTTGGATTCTGATTGGACTCTAATTGCCATTGGAATCCCCTGAATAAACAGTTATGCTTAAAAAAAGATTAGATGATATGTATAAAGGACTTAGTTTGTTGCAAAAAGTGTTTGCTTACTCTGCCATCTATAAAAATGCTAACTTTTTTTCAAAATAATCTTTCTTGACAAATAGCAAGTGCATTGTAATAGCTTTCTTCTTTCTTGTTATTTTAGTAAGTTACTTAAAAATTCTTGTTCCGCTACTACTGCATTGAGTGCATGTCCAGCCTGTGCTGGGGATCTCAGCAATAATCACATGTGATTGTGCAATAGAAGAATGTCTTGAATGTTAGTAGGACTGTTGTTGTCAATAAGGCATGCCTGATTGGGCACATTATCAGCAGAAATGTTATGCCAATCTCTGCTGGGGTAGGTGGGCACAGCCGTGGATTTTCTACAAGAGACATTGAACTAACTTGATGGAATACCATCAGATATTCTCTTAGGGAAAGCAACTTATTGCTGGACATGTTATTGTTATACTCTCTAATCCTGATTCAAAAGAGCCAGAAATGTCTTGCATAATCTCACAATGGTGCTGAAAAGTTATTTATAGAATCAGTATGAGACCAGCACTTGGTTGGCATAGAGAGAGTATATTTCCTAGGGTTGGCAGAACAGCCATGCATGGAATGTTTTGCTTTTGAACAAGATTGTCTTGGACAGGATTTTGCTAATAATGCTCAGATTCTGAAGCATATTTAGATTCTGCATCATAACTTCATTTAAGGTGACATTGGGCCTACTTTTAAGATAGTTTGAGAGTTTCAAATTGAGCTAAGTGCTACTTGAAGATACCAGGAGAACACAGAAAATGACACTTTGCGCAAAAAGATTTCCCTGCTGACAAAATATGTTAGGATAAGGCCACATGCTTTGTGCAAAAGATCACAGCTGTTGATACTTGTTGCCATCATATCATACTTAAATGCCTCGTTCATCCTATACCAGGGCTTATTTTTACAAAGAAGGTATGTGTGCTTGTTAATCAGGATAAAGTGGACCAGGAAAACACATTTTATATCCCCAACCCCCTCTCTAAGGAGCTGTAGAGTTCAAAAATCTAGTGAAATATTCTCATCCTGCACCTCCTCATTAGATGAACTTATGTGCCCCTTAAAGCTACATCTTATCTTTTAAGAAAAATATAGTAGGCAATCTGGTTTTGAAATATCATGTAACCTTTAATAGTAGGATATTGAGAGTAATGGTCCAAACTGGAAAGATTCTCCTGTTTTGTTTTTCTCATAATCATAAGAACTCTAGATGGTTTCTGGATTACCTGAAATGTTTGAGGGGCCCTGTTTCTACCCTCCTTTCCACCAAGTCTTGCTGCCTTGTGATCAATTTAGGAAACATAGCATAAAGGCCATCAGATATTTAGAGTAGAGCAGAGAAACAGAACAGAATTAGTTCATGCCATTAAACCCAGTGCACTTATGTTAATCTTCTTGTTTGAAATTCTCGACAAAAAACATGAGAACACAGGGTCATGGGAAAGATAAGAGAACGAACACCTCAGGGGAGATGTTGCAGTACAGTCTAACTTTTCTCTCTCTCTGTCTGCCAGGTAGATCATCTAAATTCATTACTCAGCTGCCCTCATCTACAGTCTTTTGTCTCCTGAGAAGCACTGAAATTAATAGAAATGAGGGGTGTTACTGTGTCATACATGAGCAGACGACAAGTCACTGTGCTAGGGATTGAGGGTCACCTGACAGGTGTCATGTGACTCCTCTAAAAGGCCATCTGTTATTTTCTTGCCTTGTAGGAATGTTGGCACAGTATTTTGGCACCTGGGGAACCCTGGGTAGAGAAATGTCCTTTTCTTTCTCTTCGAATACAACAGATTTTTGTTGTCATAACCACAGGTTGGGACTATACTACCCTTTTTAGGCTGTGGTCTGAAAAAAGGAAGTGCATCACACCTATGGAATCTTGTTTTTATGTCTCTGTTATGTTGTCCCTGGCTTTGCAGCATTTGACTTGCCAGACAGTCCTTTTTACTCTGTTACTGTGCTTTTCCTCCTTTGTTTTCATTGTCTGGACCTGACTTTAAGATTTTCTAGAACCCTAACCTAAAGCATTTCCAACTGAGTCAGGAAGGGCCTTGTTCGCTGCTTATAACACAAATTACTGTGCAAATGTTTCCTGCATATGCTACATGCGTGGCATCTCTCCAAAACAAAAATAAACCCTTAATGTTTCAGGGAAGTTCATACAAACCTAATTTCCAGCAGATTTTTTTCTGTCCTGTGATTCTTTTGTTGTCAGCGTTCTCTAAGAGACTTCATAAATTGGATCTCACAGAATGGCATGGGCGTATCTTAAAAAGGTTTTGAAGTCCATGTGGCTTTGTTCTATGCCATAGTGTCAAAACTTTGTTCAGTGGTGACAGAAGGTGTGGCTTCAGTATTGGTACCAAGAATTTTACTCTTCCCTTAAAATTGCTCTTTTTCACCTTTTCTTTTCCCAACACATTTCCCTAGCCAGACATTTTTCCCTTTCCTGTACCAGCTCAGAAGTCTTGGCACTTATCTGTAAGAGGAGTTTCCTTATTGTCTATAATACCATTAAGTGACCATCTCTTGAAGAAATCTCTTAACAATTGCAGTCTGTGATGTGCCCTCTCCTGTCTTAGTTGAGACCAAATGGATCACATTTAAATGAGCTATGTCAGGGAGCCAGAAGCAATGATTGTTTCCAAAGATCTGTTCAGACCACAGGCTGCCTCTGATCTGATTTCTGAAAATCATCACTTTTTCTCAGGACACACAGTGTGTTTGTGCTCTGTTTTTGTGTAGGTTTTACAGAAGGTGAACACTGTATACAATATGTGTGAATATGTATATATATTAAATATACAAAGTGCAGCAGTGAGCATGGAATATCAAGTTTTCTAAACCATCAACTGCATGGCTCAAGGCATTCACTTCTCATATTTCTAACTTGAGCTGGGAGAAGAATGTATTATTCAGTGACACAGATTTTTCCAGTCTGTGTTAGATTTTAGAATTAATTTATTATGGTTTCTGTATGCACATGTGTTACTATCCAGTTGTGATTTAAAATATGTTTTGTTTATAGGCAGATATATGCAGCTATGGAAGTCTGCAGTGATGAATTAACACAGCAAAACTACACTTAATCAACTAACATTATTATGTGATTCCATAAATAATATAACAAATCAGTGTAGTGGAATTTAGTGGCATGAGTGTACAAAAGTGTTATTTATAGTCCCTTT